TGGGAACGCAGAGCGCAGGACCATATATATGTACCCCATTATAAACCCAATAGAAATCCTATAATCCTTGTAGTTTCCATTTTCTTTTCCATTATCCCTATATAACCCCTATTATAATATAGCAGTTTCCATTTTCTTTTCCAGTATCCCAATGTAACCCTAAACCCTAAACCGTGTAAACCCTATAGAAACCCTATAATCCCTGTAGTTTCCATTTTCTTTTCCATTACCCCAGTAGTTCCCCGTAAAGCCCCCCGCCTCGCTGCGATTCACGCGCCGCTCGACCTCCTGGGCCGTCTGCACCTCCAGTCCAGACGCTTTGTTTTAGGGAATATCTTGGGGTTATATTTGGGTAATATTGGGGTTATTTTAGGGAATATCTTGGGCATATTGGGGTTATTTTAGGGTTTAGGGTTTTAGGGTATATATTAAGGTTCTATTGGGGTTCTATAGGGATAGTGGAAAAGAGAATGGAAACTACTATTTAGGGTTTAGGGTATATATTGGGGCTATATTGGGGTTATTTTAGGGTTTAGGGTTTTAAGGTATATGTTGGGGTTATATTGGGGTTATATTGGGTTTATGTTGGGTTTATATTGGGGTTATACTGGGTAATATTGGGATTATGGAAAATAAAATGGAAACTGCTATAATGTGTTTTCAGGCGTTTAGATAGGGGGTTTTCCATGAAGAGAGGGCCCCAAAATGACCCCCTGACCGCCCATCATCCTTTCTATGGGGACCCTCCACGAGGAACCCTGGACTCTGGGAAACTCCCATGATGCTAAAAGCAAGGCTTGTAGAAATAAGAGGGTTTAGGTTCAGTACTGCCCCCCTTCGTGGCGGTTGGGTGGTGCTTGTGTTGTGATTTTATGTAGCCCTGAATGGGGCCCCTAATATGGACTGCTACTGGGGGGAGCAGTGCCCAAGGTTTAGGGTTTAGGGTTGGGGAATACTGGCATCTTATCACTGCCAAGGCTCCCAAGATCAGGGTTTCTTTCCAGGGCTCAAAGGATGTCGCATTGTTTGGGCTTCATATGCCTTGTTTGTGATCATCCGGGGGTTCCATGATTTATGGGTCCCTTCTGATAGGCACAAAAACCCTAAACCCTAAAACCCTAAACCCCTAAACCCCCTTAAACCCTCCTTCTTCAGAAGCCCAAGGATTGAAATAGCTTAAAGTCTGGCAGAAAGGCGGGGCGTTGGACTCTGGGGCTGAAGCTCAGGAGCGCTTGGAGCCGTCAAAGGTAGATGGGGTCTTCTAGGTGTTTTGGTTTATATTAGGATAATGGAAAATAAAATGGAAACTACAGGGATTATAGGGTTTATATAGGGTTTACAATGGGGTATATACATATACATATATATAATAGGGTTATATTGGGATAATGGAAAATGAAATGGAAACTACTATACTATATAGGGGTTATGTTGGGGCTGATAACCCCCTGGTTTCCTCAATGTAGTGATGGGTTCATATTGGGGGGGGGGTTCCATTTTTTGGATCCTAAACCCTAAACCCTAATCCCTAAGCACTATAGACCCCTATAAACCCCTTTAAAGGGTTCCATTTTTTGGAT